CATCATGTAACAAGCCTGGCCAATAGATGACATTGATCACTGGCGGGAAGGACTGTGTCGGCTGTTTGATTTGAAAATTGGGCCTTCTGGGGGTTCCGGCGGTGACATTGTTACTATCATGGCTAAAAGGAGGATACAAGATGTGTTCCTAAGGACAAAAAATAAATAGATATATTTAGTAAGCATGAAATAAATTTTAAACATACTTAGAAGTTAGAACAGTCGGGCCAGAGAGAGGGTGAACAGCCTATTTCACGGCAAGTCGCAATGCCGAACCTCCCCACCACACTATTTGAATGAACTAACAACCATTGTGAGGAACACTACCGATTGGGTTAATGTAAGAGGGTTATACTTATACATTGTCACTGCGAGCGATCATCCAGATTATACAGTATTTCGCGAAAACAAACTTCAATGGTAATTACTTACAACAATACTGTATTGTATGGTAAATATGATTTACAAACTTCTAACAGCGATGGTTCGAGATAGTGAACAGCTGTCCCTCAACCCATCCATGGCCCAATCATGACCCCCTCCCACATAGCCAACGTGTGGACATGTGCCTGTGTGTACGGTGTAAAGGTTAACATTGTAGTGGATATTTCCCCTACAACTATACAACTGCCGTTTGTCGCGGACTAGCCGAAACCCTTTTCAAATTCCCCAGCCAACGCCTCGTGGTCTAAGGTCGGCTACTAGCGCCGCCTAACAAAGCGGAGGTCAACTATCAAGCCACGCCTACCTCCGCTATATAAGACCTCACCTCACCGTGACTTGCCCTTCGACTGCTGGACCCGGAGCTGTGAAGACTTGCCTCTTCTGCTGCATGTTTGAGCAGTCTGCAACTTCGTTGTGATAGGACACTCATTCCTAGTGATTGTACTTACCCAACATAGCGACGGTGCAATTACCATCTCAGATTGTACGAAACATTCCAACTTCCGAAAAACATATATTTGGGCTCCCCAAATTTTGACTACTACCCATGCGTCTACGTCCTGGATTGGCCAATCAGCGGTGCCCCACGGTGGCGTGATACATGCACGTTTACTGCGGTGCTCTGAATGGCTGACCGAACGTGGCGTGGTAGGTAGACTGTCTCTACTCTCTAAGTCCTCTTCTTTCCTTTTTTCATCCCCCTCATGCACTCCCTTCCTTGAACGGGAGGTGGGACTTAGCGTTACTGTCGATCCGGCAAGGGAACCTGTGATAGTGCAGGGCACCCCTTGTCCGGGGGTCACCGGTAGGTGGCAACTTTTTAGACATAACTATAGTCAAAGGTAACCTGGGCGCAGAACCCTACGAGCCCGAGTTTTACAACAGGGCTTTCTAATATTTAACGTGTCAGTAACACCTCATCAAATAAAGAAGGAAACATTCATCAGTCTGCAAACTTGCTTTTCCTGTTAAAAATATGAAGAACACACAACGAGAGACTGTCCAGAAAAAGAGAAAAAGTACTGCTCAGATTGTGCAGGCGACGACCATACCTACACTGAATGTAAGAACACACATATTGGCTGTCTCAACTGTAAGAGAAACGGGAATGCATACATAGGACATAGGACGTTAGCAATGGCATGCCCAATAAAAAAACACATGATAAAGTACAAGGAACAAGAAACAAGGAAAAAGGAACAAGACAAGAAGGATACGACGTACGTCGAAATAGCCAAGAGAGCGGTCCAAGAGGCTCACAGACCAGAATCCACCAAATTAAACTTAAGTGAACCAATACATGACAAGGTAATGATAAGTATGATCCACGCACACCTGCACAATATCATTGCACCCGGATCATACAATGAGGAGTTAAGGAAAATGTTTAAATTGAATAACCTACCAGAGATGATATTCCCAGAGAATCCAGAATCCGAAAAACTATTTCAGGCAACATACTCAAGCGAACTGAGAGAAAGACTACAGCTAGACAAACAAAGGTTTGAGCAAGGAGCAACAGCTGATACACAAGGAACACAAGCGACTGATAGAGATCCCAGACAAATGACTAGAAGTGACAAAGAGAAGATAGAAATAACAAAAGGACAGACTACAAGACAAGGATAAGGAGGAGAGAAGATAAGATGGAGACTGATCACAATATACAACCTGCATCTGCTGAAGATATTGGATTAAAAGTTATCACCACAACAAAACATGGAATCCCAACATCGAGACCAACAGGAGGGACAATAGTAAAAAACTGTGAAGGAGGGATATACAAGTGGACATATCAAGAAAAATCCCTAAGTGAAGATTACGTCTGGACACTAATCACTTTGGACAAACTAAAGATTACGACCAATGACTTTAAAATAGTAGACCCGTCAGAGTTTAGAAGGGTCAGAAGCGGGAAACAGGACGATAGGTCTCCACTCCAACTGCCACAATCCAAGTATAAGAAATAATGGACAATTGACAAACAGTAAGAACTTTAAGAATAATACAACACAACGTAAGAAACTGGAAGACCGAGAGACAGTGAGACAGACAACAACAACATAAAACTCTTTAACTATTATGTAAACCAAAGAAATAAATCGGGCGAGAAAAATGACGGAGTAGCTTTAGCGGTTAAAAGAAACTTAAAATTTAAACTAATCCATGACTTCCAGGATGAATTTCTAGCAATAAAAATAAATACAACTCAAGGAGACGTAATTATTGCGACTACTTATCTGCCACCGAGACGACCCTACTTACCTATAGAAGACCTATTAAAATTGGTTAGCCAGTGGCGGCTCGTGCATAGGGCTGCAGTCCCCCCAGACACTCACTGCCAGGCGTATGATTCCTTTAGAGAGACAGCTGAATAATACACTACCAACAAATATATCATTTTATATGTTATTTAATTATTTTCAATACGTTGCTAAGTGAATTTTCATTAAAATCAGACCAAAATTTAAGTTACTTTCATAGTTGCTGTCAATGCTGTACGATTCATGTCTGTTATTAATTGGCGCCGCTCAGTCTCGTACAACGTGTTTACATTGCGTGTGGACGGTGTGGTTAAATCGTGCTTTCTTTAATTACCCTTTGACGATGGAAAATCGAGTGAAGTATTTGCAAAACATCAACTTTTCCCAGCTGACATCAACTACAACTCATACTTGAGGTAGGTCAAATTTGTGTATCCTACTGTTGTGTGAGGCTTGCAGTCCCTCCATTTTATTTTTCACGAGCCGCCACTGTGGTTAACAATAGTCATCCGATGTACATCTTAGGAGACTTTAACGCCAGACACAGGATTTTCGACAATACAAATAATAACGCCGTGGGAAACGCCCTTAATCAATTAATAAACCTAGGGAAAATCAATCATCTAGGTCCTAACTTTCCAACCTGGAGAAATCACAATACACAATCGACACCAGACAAAATTTTTACCAACAACAAAGCCTTTTTCAATTACCATATAATATAAGGACCTCTTACAGGCAGTGACCATCTGCCAATTATACTAACACTGTCAACAAGCCCCATACAGATACCAATAAAAAAGAGACTGAAAATGAGTAAAACAGACTGGGACAGCTTCAAAGACGACTTAAGTAATCACCACTCGATTAACCTACAAGGGAAAACAACAGAAGATATAGACTCAGAAATGGACAGACTGCACTCAGCAATAAAAACATCTATAACCAAACACACTCCTACTTCACACTTTAGAACATTACCCAACAACAGACTACCAGAAGAAGTTAAATTAATCCAGACCCATTACAATGAAATAAACAGGTATATGGAAAGACACGGCAGTAACAGATGGCTATATACGACGCAGACAGCACTACAGATAAAATTAAGAGACGCATGTAAGGAAGCAAACAATAAAAAATGGAATGATATTATAATGGCGGCTGACAAGACTAAAGACACAAAAACATTTTGGACTTCCATAAACAAGATGATGGGGCACAACAAGCAAAAAACACCATACATTAAAGACCAAAATGGAACAAAATTGTACGAGGAAAATGAACAGCATTCAAAAGGGAATGGGTAAAAGTTTTTAAAATATCAGATGAGGAAAATGAAGATTTTGATAGTGAACACGAAGAAAGGATAGAAGACGAAATGGGAAGACACATACATAGAATCACCCCAAAGCAATATATAGACGATAACTTATTACCTAATAATCAAATAATAACCATGGGAGAAATGATGCACTGTCTGAGGAAGTTTAAGGAAAAAGCCCCTGGGCTCACAGGTATTACACGAAATATGATCATGAATCTACCTGAAAACATCTTACAAACACTATTAAACATTTATAACGCATGCTTAATAATCGGTTACTTTCCAGACAAACTAAAATATGCTAAAATGATATTTATTCCCAAGGAGGGTAAGGACAATAAGGAAATATTAAACTACAGGCCAATATCTTTATTAGAAATTACCGGGAAACTATTGGAAAAAAATTTAAATTCAAGACTTATAACCTTTTTAACACAACATGGGAAAACTAACAATAGACAACATGGATTTATGCCCAATAGAAATACCCTAACTGCAATAGCTACAATAACGGAAATAATTGCAATAGAAAAAAGCAAGGGGAACCAGATCAATATAATTTTAAGGGACGTTTCTAAGGCTTTTGATAAAGTTTGGCATTTAGGCTTAAAATATAAAATATTAAAATTGGGACTTAACGAACACTTGCTAAGAATATTGTGTAGCTATTTAGATGATATATCAATCATAAAGTGGAAGAAAAATACTCATTAATACAGAGATATATAACTTTATTCTATCAGCTGGCATTTCGGGGATTAAAGATTACGGATTTCAGATCCTTTATACAAATTTAAAGTGTAATATTTCCCTCATCTAGGTAAAATTTTGTGTTTTTTTTTTACATACGGATAATATTATTTGTATATGAAATAAATTATATAAAACTATGAAAAATGGGCTTAATTAGTTCGAAATATAGCATTGTTGTCTCCCATTTTAGTTAAGGGCTCGGTGTGTGCTTATTTTTTAGACTTTACTGAAGTCTCGACCCATAACAAGTAAGGTGTAGGAGAGAAGGAAGGCAGAAGACCTTAATACAAGTATCTTTTATCCTCTCGTGAATATTAAACTCTGCCATGTCACGCCAACTTGTAGCCTGCATGTTGAATGTCTCAGAAGGTCGCAGAATTAGTGTGGTTGAGAAAATTGCCAAAGCAGCCCTGTCAGCTAGCAATCCTCCTACACGAGCACCTTCAGTACCAAATTGGACGATTAATGCTACAGTTTTAAATATATTCCAAGATGTTGACTACAATAGATCAGTCCTCACAATAGTGTCTAATGAAGATAATATAGGTAGGCAAACTATTAAGGTTAAGTGTACCTAAGTGATTTTGGCGAATTAATGTTAGGTTAAGTTAAGTTACATTAGGTTGAAAATTTGTTTTTCCGTTGGATTTTGAGGTATTTTTGTATTTACACACCGCACATTCCTACCACTAATCTATTATCATATTCTAATAAGACATCTAATTATAAGATAATTTTCATCTATTACATTACCAGCGGAAATGTATAATAACGAAGATAGCATCCAAAAACTTCTCCATTTTCTTCCATTAATCTTCTGCCATCATCACGTCACGGGGTCAATCAAAAGCGTTTTTGTTTTTGCAACCAATAAAAATTATTTTGGATTTAATTCGCGGTATATTTGGCCCAATCAAATTCTAGTTTTATTTTGGGTCTCATATTTCAAAATTCAAATTCATTTCCGACCATGGAAGTCTGCGATGGGTGTCACTTAAATTATATGGAGCTGATTGGGATTTTTTGTACTAAGAGCAAGACAATGTAAATATCGCAAAGACCAACATATGTGGCGTTGGGTAAGAATCTCAGAATTCAACGACGAACAAGAACCAGGTCAATCAGGTAAGCAATAGGTCATTCCATCATATGGTGAGTCAGTTAGGTTAGGTTAGGTTTGGTTTAGTTTTTTTTTCTAGTGTTTTTTTGGTGTATTTTGCCATGATTTTTTTTCGGAAAACATCCAACGAAAAAAAATTGACAAAGAAAAAAAAAACGGCTAATTTCCGCCATAAATGAAGGTCATATTCGGTCTAAACACACACAAATACACTAGAAAAATATATTTTTGATTTTCTAACAGAGTGCGGTGTGACAGTGCAAATTTACCAATTTTTATGTGTTTTGAACGATTCTGACCTACTTCCAAATAGGTGCATGACCGAAACGATAATTTTACCGAATTAATGTCTTAAATCGGTGTGTAGTTTGGGGTATAATGTTGTTTATTATGTAAATAAGTAAGTAAAATTTTTGAATCACTTTCAATCCATATTAATTTTACTCAAGTCAGTAAATGTTTCCAGGGTAATAGTGAAGACGGCTGACGCCAGAAAGAGTTTTTGTATTTCGTTAATTTTTTGGTAAAATTGCAGATTACAGTAACCAAAGAATGACTTAATATAAGAATATGATCACAGAAAAAATAGTTCTATCGATTGAGTGTAGAGAATTTCAGGAATTCTGTGGTTGCTATTTATTGCAATATTATCCATTTTTTCCACAATAAAAACGATACAACTTTTTCCTTTAATGCTGTGGATATTTGTCGGTTAGGTAGTTTTTTACTTTAGACTAACACCAGGAGTTGATAGAATTGACAAAACTTTGTGAAAACGTTAATTGCAATCTATTGCATAGATGAATGGAAATGAGAATCCTTTCATTATTGTTAAGTATGTTTTAAAAGGTTCTGGTAATCTAGGTAGGGTTAGGCATTTATTTATTTATTTATTTTTTTTTTTTTTTACTGGGGAATAGCCCACCTGGGCTATTATATTAATCTACACCACGAAGATGCCGAAAAACCAGCTTTTTGAAGTGAAACAGATTGTATGAGTATGGAAACAGAAGAAGGCAGAGCATTCCACAGTTTGGCTGTGTGAGGAAAGAAGGATGTACCATAATGGGTTATTCTAGTGTGACTGAGATCCACAGAGAAACGGTGGGCACCTTGGGCAAGACGAGTGTTACGAGCACATGGCCTTGCCGGCAGTACACAGGATGCCAGATCCACTGAACATTGCCTGTTAATGTACCTGTGAAAGAGAGAGAGTGAAGCAACATTGCAGCAAAGAGAAAGGGAAGAAAGGTTATCACTAAAGGAGGAGAGTTAATAAGACAAATAGGTTTTGTGCATTCTCATTTCCATTTTCAATCAATTATATAGATTATAAGTAACTTTTCCACAAAGTTTCGTCCATTTCTATCAACTTTTTTTATGGGATTAGTCCACCATGGCACAGGTAAATGACCCACATCAGGGCCTGGGGGTGAAAATAAGGTACATATTCGTCCATTTATTTTTTTGTATTATGGTGTGTTTTACTCAAATCTTACCTTCATTTCTGGTGTAAATTAGCAGCTTTTGATGAAAAAAAAAATCATTTGTAGCAAAACTGCTAATTTGCATCATAATGGTGGTCATGTTTGTGTAAAACACACCAGAAAAACCAAACCTAACCTAACCTCACTTAACCTAACCATTTTTAGGAGCTTACCTGCTACTATGGTTGAGGATACAGCTGGGCGATCTGGTACATTTATGGTTACAAACAAAAGAATTTCTGCCTTTTCTTAAAAGCAAACAATTTCCACATGTTGGACATAGTCTTGATGTTGGTAGGACACTGTGATCTTGTAATATTTGGATTACTTCACTATTGTTTTGATAAACTCGCTGAATAACACCTAGATAAGGGAGAGAGCACTTTTTGCACACCATCACGAGCCTTCAAAATGGCTGCTTCAAAATGATTGGCCAGCCAAGTCACATGATACGATACTTGAAGATCATTGGTTGTCATGTCGCAAAGAGGGGGAGGAGAGGACTAGAAAAGCGACAATGGCAACATGGCGGGTACAGAAATTTATGCCTAGAAATTTGTGAGAAACTCCGTTAATATTGATTTGCACCAGAAATGATATGAAGTCGTATGTTTGGTTTTTATAGTCTTTGTGTCTGCAATATTGAAAATTGGAAACTGACGGACAGCCAATATCTTCCCAGGCGGTAGTACCGCCTTGTTTAATAGCTGCCTACTACCCACTGGTATTAGTTAAAAAAAAACCCATAATTAACTGGCAATTGGACAGATATCTACAGCCTTCCTTTATTTGGTAACGGTGTAGGAGACAGTTAGCGCACGATTCTGAACATGAAAATGTGCCTCTTCAAGAAAAGTGCTTTCATTGGTACCTGATATCAAAGTGCTTAATATGCTGGGGGTCTGGGTTGGTTAGATCAGGTTCTGTTAGGTTCTGTGGATTGTTGAATTGTTTTTATTACGTACTACCATCCAAACAACATCTATGAAAAATTTTTGGACGAATCCTAACAACTGCTTCTGGTGTTAGCCGTGTCCTCCACCATTACTTTATTTTTTTTGTGGTGGATATTTTGCCATGACCAGCTAAGTTCCTACTAATGCTAATTTACCGTGAGTGTGCTTTGATTGGCTAGGTACTTTCTGTTTAATATTGGGGGCGGGAAGGTGTCCGTCCAAGGTTAGGTAGGTTTCTTTGGTTGGTTACCTCTTTTATAATGATAAGTTTCCATGCACAACAGGAATGTGGTTAGGCATGTTTACAGCTACACAATGATCGACTCCTGGAAAAATAATGCCAAATGCTGCCAGAGTCATGATCAAGTATAGTTCTTGTGTTGTTTGCCTGTAATGGACGATTAGCCAATCAGAGTGCACTCATAGTAAAATAGCATTAGTAGGAACTAAGCGGTCATGGCAAAATATCCACTGCCTATTTTTTATGCTGTATCATCCTATATACCAACTAATATACAGGGTAAGTTCCCGTATGTACTCTACTGAATGTTAACCAAAATTTTAATTGAAAGAGCACTTCTGAAATTAGTTTTTGATATTGCCCTGTTAAAAGGAGCCACTTTAAATAAAAATTCTATAAAACAAAGGATGATTCTTACCTTTCAAATATCTAACAAAGGTTGGAGGACTTGGAAGTTTCCTACTCTTGTTTTTCTCTACTTTCTGTTAAGAGTAAATACACTTTGCCCACAGGTGGTTACTGTCTTTACAGTTAATCTGGTGACATGCTTGCCAGTTACCGGTAGTGTTCCTAATCTTTAGCAACCTTCCTAGTGAAGTTTCCATACAAACTGATAATAACATAATAAAACCCTAACCAGCCTTCATAAAGTAATGCACTTCTATCCTAGGATTAGTAGGTTAGTATAGGTTTGGTTGTTTGGTTTGTTGTTTAAAATAAATCGCTGGTTGCGAAGAAACATTCTTTGAAAATAGGAGATGGTGTTCAGGTGTGAAATGCCTTCCTGGATAAAATTGCCAAACTTATGACATGAAAATTGCTGTAAAATTTTGATACTGTATTCATTGGTACAGCATTGCATATTATTAGTTTAAGAAATAATTTATAATCATCTGTACATATACTGTATAAATGTACAAAAGTTTCTGCTGCTTTTTGTGTTTATGGGATGTAAGAGTTCTTGGCAATGAAATGATTTCTTTTTAGCACTAATGTAAAGAGTTGATAAAGGCAGCATAGATTCATCTTCAGCATGAGTAACTAGAGGGATTGTAACTTTTTACTTTTGTTTATCTCTAGTTTTATTTATGAGTAAATATGGATCTTGCTGGCTATCGGCCATAAGTTTGACTGCAGCCAGGTGGCCCCACTGTAATGCATTTATTTACAGGACTAGTGCATATTTTGATGAATAAAATTATTTGATAGTTCCGGATTTTCATTTCTGCCTTTGAAAAGGATTGGAAATTTCTCCAGCCCAATAAAGTTTTGATATGCTTATAATCTCAGTTTATAATTTGAAAGGCCCAAAAGTATTCAGACAAAAGACTTCGGAAAAGATAGGAGGCCTCCTATTAGAAAGAAGACAGTTTATGGAATCATAATATATTATATGAAATCTCTTTTACTCTGATGCTCAGGCTTAACTTCTGTAAAGGAAGCCCTTTCCTGAATTTCTTACCTCTTTGGTACAAAATTTATCACCTAACTGAGAACAGTATAAGGCTTAGTACCAAAAATCTTTCCAAAAATGGTAGACCCCATACTCAAGAGAAAATCATAAAGCTTATCCAATTGACTTTTGCCACTAAACCTGAAACTTTGCTGGCTCTTACAGCAACCACTTTACTGGCATTTCAAAGCTATGTTCCAACTCTAGTTCACAAGGTGAGAAGCTATTTGCAACACTTACACTGATGTGCTGTAAAGTGTAACCTACTGCTAGAACATTTCAAGACCCCTGTACTAGTGAAGATATCTCACGGGTCATTTGTCTCCTTCCTTGTTTGTATACAGTATTTTGATTTAATTTATCAGTCTTCTATTTTCAATGACACATTTTTTGGACACTACTCACACTGACTTGTGTGTGTGTGTGCCCTGAATTTTTTTTTTCTGTGTAGCCAAAGTCAAGTCAACCTCATTTTTATACTTTGACACAATTCATTTATCTTTTTCTTAGTTTATTCTTTTTTATTCTGTTTTCATATATCTCATGCATTTTCTGTTGCTTAAAGGTTTCTTTATTCATATAATAAAAGCTTTGATTAAAGAGTTCTTTGACTAAATTTATTAAGTGTACAATGAGTTTATTCCATGAGAACAGACGTCAATCAGGTGTTTTATTTAATGTTCTGAAATTCCTCGCAGATGTATGGTAATTCAACACAAATTGGCTGAAAAATGGGCTTTGGGTTTGTGGATGTTGCATTGTGATGAAGTATTGTTTCACTCAGTAATCCCCATAAGATTATTCTTGGTTCAACACAATATTCCGCTAGTTTCTGCCCATCATATACAGTATGCTGGATTGGGCACAAGTGAATTTTTTTGTTCCCAAGTAGATAGCTGATAAGTACACCAGAAAGAAAATAAATTCAAGAAGTACTATACTATAGATTATACCAAATGTAGAGCAGGAATTAAATGTTATCTTAAAAAAAATGGGATACTGTACTAAAACAGGGGATTGAAAAATATGACTGCTGGAATCACTGTACAGGGTGTATTCTGAAAGAGATAAATTATATTAACTGTTTGACTTTCAGTAAAAAAAAAAATTATCACAGAACTTTTTGATCAAGCCTCACTTTACACTATGCTTAGTATTAAAAGTTATGTGATATTATATCAATAGATGATAACTTACAAATACGTACATTACTGTGCTCTATTGGAAATCATCACTAATGAATGACACAGCCAAGTATTATTTGTACTAATTTAACATTAAAACTTATTACAGGACCTTGTATAGAAGCAGCATGCAAAACAGCTTATGAGCTAATTGACTTGAGCAAGCATGAGGGAGTCCATCCAAGACTTGGTGCAGTTGATCTTGTACCTCTGCACCCAATATCAGAAAATATGTCTGTCCAGTCTCTCGGTCACATAGCTAACAGTAAGTATCAGAAACTTCTGAGTTCACAGAATTTTGGATGATATGGCTTCATGTTTCAGCAATAGAAGAAATAACAATACTGCACTGTACTGTATTGTACTGTGCTGTACTCACATAATGTTACCCCAAAATTTTTTAAATCCAGTTGTTCTACATATATTTTGTACAGCTATTCCTAAAAAACATGGCTTGTAAATTGGGAAAGCTTTTCCCATCAATTTAAAGGTAAAATTAAAATTGTGCTCTTGGCGGTCTTCCCAACTCTTTTCCTAGACTAAAAAACATATAAATTCCTGTGTCTGTAAATATGAATTGGTACTCGGTAGATTGTGCTTAATAAGTGACAGAAATTAGGGATTAAATTCTTTTTACCTTATTTACCTAATGGTTACCCACTCGAGACCATTTGAACAGCTCATGCAGGTCTTTATGCATTATTGCGACATTGTCTTGACTTGCTACCTTCCCAGATATCTTCTTGTTGGCCACAAACCGGACAATGTGACTTGATATACAGTACAGTATTTTCATCAATGTCGTTTATGTACAACACATGCACTGGTGAGCCTTGGTCCACGTAGTCTGTTACCGTTTTAAGGAACATGAATAGGTGTATCAAGCAGGATTTTCTTTCCATGTAACTGTGTTGTGATACATTGATAAGACTGTGCTTGGTCAAGTGTTGGATGATGTTTGGCTGATTGGCCTGTAGTTTTCTGTTGAACTTTTTCTACCATTCTTGTATACCGAGGTGATGGCTAATTTCCAGTCTCTAGTGAAGTGCAAATCTTGTTTGGTATCTCCTTTATCACTTTAGTCTGTGCTCCATCCACTCCAGGGGCTTTGAATTTCTCCAAGCTGGCTATTTTCCCTTTGATCATACCTTGTGTAATTGCCATCTTTCTTGTTTCATTTTCCACCCCTGAGGTATACATTCTCTGAGGCACAGTACTGGCATGTTATCATAGCTGGATTAACAGCATTGGGGGCCCCTAGCTACTAAGACTCTAGGGCCCCCTTGAAACTTTGTTTCATAAAAAAATATTAATGAGGTTTGATGTTAGGCTTAATTATTAAAAAATTTACATTTACATTTTTTTGCAAATATTTTTTGACAAATGGTGGAATTATCATGTAACAAGAGTACAAAAAAGCGAGAATTCAATTTAAAAATAAGAAAAATTACAGGGTACAGAATTTATTTCCATTAGAAACCAGACATGAGGTAATACTGTATGTACAATAATAGTAATAGACTATTACAGTGGTCCCTCGGTAAATGAGCGCCTCGGTTAACGAGATTTCGGTTAACGAGTTACCTTCCATAAGATTCTTAACTTCGGTTAACGAGCAATCCCTCGATTAACGAGTTTCTTACGAGCTGACCTGAACATGTTTTCGCTTGCATTTGGCGGTCCACCAGCTGTAGTATTAGTCCGCCAGTACAGTAATCGGTTCTAGGATTTAAGTTCCTTACCATTTTAGTAAATATCAAGAAGTTTATACTATTCAATAATTTTAAAAGTTTCATATTAAATTTTTTAGTAATTTTAACAATTATTGAACATGCCATCCAGCCTGCCAACACACCATACAGGCGTCAGTCTTTGTGTCTTTTCAGTGGAGGTAACATCTTGCTTGAGACGCTCTTCAACTAAATGCTTTTTTTCTGTGTTTGCAAGCAAATTATTGGTCATTTTGAAATTTATTTTACATATTGACAATATATAATGCAGTGCAGTGTTGATTTAAAGAACATAATCTTGAATTACACCAAGAGAACTAAAATTTTATGGGTGAAATGGCGCCATGGGGTGACTTCTCTTCCACCCCAATGCCTTCTCTTCTCCTCCACCCCCATTCTAATTCCCATCATCATCATCATCATCATCATCATCATCATCATCATCATCATCATCATCATCATCATCATCCAGGAGCCTTCTACATACACACCTCAAAGTAAGTGTACTTTTCTACCTTTTCTGTTGAATTTAGGCAATTTTCGGTGAGCTGGAACCAATTACCCCAAAACCCATTGAAACAATGGTTTCGGTTAACGAGTTTTTCGGTTAACGAGTTTTTCGGTTAACGAGCAACCTTCTAGAACGGATTGTGCTCGTTAACCGAGGGACCACTGTACAGGGTTTTAGGACTAATTGTAATAATAATATATCACAGTTTTGTGGTTGTAATGGTAATAGAAATTGAAGTCAAAATAATAGATAATAGTCTATTACTTTTCAATTACAGATAAGCTTTTTAAATTATTAGGTTTTCAAACATTTTGTCACAATTAATAAATTTGTATTGCCATTCAGTAGTTTTCTCCAAGAAAAAACAACACAAAGTAGCTGTAAAATGATTGTTATATGTTTTAATCTTTGTCAAAGCTTTTCTCGATTTCATGTTTCTTTGTTGCTACATTTTTCATGAACAAAAGCATCCTGTAACTGTAATATAATAGTAATATAACAGTAATATAATAGTAATAGATGAATGAGTAATAGTATTACAGGTAACTCGTGTTTTACTCGCTTTTGATTTAAGCGTTTTTGGAATAATGCGATTGTTCAATTAATACCAAAAGCTAATTTACGCGCGCCTATTTTTGAAATAGCGCGCTCAAGACAGTTTAAATTTACCACGCGTATTCGCCTGGTCACCTGGCAGTGGAGTCGAATGTGATGCCTGGTGAGGTGCTTGTAATTTATTACTAATAATTATTAAAATAATGTAATAATAAAGATTATTACTACTAATGATGAAGATAATGAAGTATTCTGTACAACAACTGTGGCGGCATCCAGCAAGCTTCCCGCGTATCACTTTCTCAGTTCACACCAGCACTACTTTTTCTCTGTGCTCTCATTTGCATTGTGTGTTTATCACATACCTTTTTAGTGTTAAACTCTGTTTTCCACATTGAGCATGTCTGGAAAGCGTCCATCTGCCTCCTCAGGGGCGCCTAAAGCTAAAAAGGCACAAGAAACAATCGTAATGGATGTGAAATTAAATGTGATTGTAAAGGCCTGAACTTTGGGATATAAATCCCTTGCCAGCCTAATCAGGATCTCATAAAAGGAAAGTCAAGAACCATGGGTTTCCAAGGGGTAACAAACAACTGTTAGATATTGACATCTGTTTAGTAAGAGAATAATCGCAATAATTGACACCACTCACACAAATATTAAATAAACAAATACGGGAGTCAAAGTAAAGTACAGATATTTCCTACGGCTACAGCCCGGTGGAATGTTCTGTTAACGTGGTGGTCCGCTCTCAGGGGGAAGGTCCAGGGAAGATTCCTCACTTGGCGCCGGCGTTGGTGGGCGATGTCTTGCCACACAGGAGAGACGCCAGGGCACGGACGGTGGATAGGGCGTGGAGGAAGTGGCAATGACGTGGCAGCCGCGTTAGTAGCTGGAGTAGGAGTCCAGAGATTGACAGCCGAATAGTGAAGGACTGGGGAATCAGCCCATGAGCCCCAGGAGCCTCAGATGAGCACACAACCAGAGTTGGAATAGAACAGCGGGGGAAGTGCAGCTGTGGTGCTGGCTGGGTAGTGTCTGGTGTGCGACGAGGCAGCAGCGACCTTCTCACCTTCGTCAACCCCTCCTAGTGGGGCCGCGAACAAGCAAAGGAGCTGCAGACAACCATCCCGCTCGTTACCGCCCTTACAGTGATCACATCGGGGCCTGGGGGGCGAAAATGTAATAGTAATACTAATTATAATAATAATAATTATTCATAGTAAATAAATTTTTTAATAAAAATACACCAAAATAAAATAATAATGATTACAACACTGCAATAATAATAATAATAATAATAAAATATAATAATAAAATTAATAATAATAAGAATAATACTGTAATAATAAAATAATAATACAGTAAAGAAATACAAGAATGAAAAAAGATCAAAAGTGAGAAACACGACCTAGACCTATGAATTATTATTATTATTATTTTTATTATATTTTCGACCCCCCCAGGCCCCAATTTGGGTCGGTGATCTATGCCCGGGTGGGCTAATACACATAAAAAAAAAAAAAAAACCCTAACCATTCTGAAAATCGAAAAATTCCGAAAACCGAAATGCCTCTGGCCCCAAGGATTTCGGATAAAGGATTGTCAACCTGGTATTAGTCCAATGATCAATGGCTGATGAAATTTTGCAATGCGTGACTTGCAACTATTCCGCATTAACATGATCAGGATCAACTTTATTTTTATTTAATTTTTTTTACGGGGAATAGCCCACCCGGGCACAGGTCATCGACCCACAACAGACCCAAGGGGGCGAAAAAATAAGAGTAAAAAATAAAATTAAAATAAATAAAAGAAAAAGATTATACTGTATTAACCTATACCACGAAGATTCTTGAATACCAGCTTTATAAAGTCAAACATTGTACATATAAGTATGGAAACACAGAAGGCAGTACATTCCACAGTTTGGCTGTGTGAGGAAAGAAGGATGTACTATAACAGCTTATTCTAGTGTGACCAACATCCACAGAGAAACGGTGGGCACCTTGAGCAAGACGAGTGTTACGAGCCCACGGCCTTGCCGGCAGTACACAGGATGCCAAATCCACCGAACATTGCCTGTTAAAGTACCTGTAAAAGAGAGAGAGTGAAACAAAATTGCAGTGAAGAGAAAAGGAAGAAAGATAATCAACTAAAGGAGGAGAGTTAATAAGACGAAATGCCTTTGATTCCACCTAATCTAATAGTTGCACAGAAGAAAAGCCACCCCAGATATGAGAACAATACTTCAAGTTAGGACGAATGAAGTCCTTATACAGTATTCTTGGAGCAACTGCTCATGAGTGAAGTAGCTACGGCATCTGTACAGCATTCCAAGCTTTCGGGAGGCAGCTTTAGCAATGTTGAGGATGTGTGGCTTCCATGATATATTAGGGGAAATGGTGAGGCCTAGCATATCTATTTTGGAACTTGGCAGAATGATTGCATCCTGAAATGTGATTGTGAGAGATCATCTAATTTGGAAAGTGCAATTGGTAAATACTGAATTTTATACTATTGAATTTAAGCAAGTTTCTATCTCCCCATTCAGAGATGCTGCACAGATCCACATTTATAGATGTAATGATATCAGCCCTAGAAACAGATCTAGTATGAGAATTAGGGGGAAGGGGAAAATGTGAAGAGTGAAGAGTAGAATCGTCAGCATAAGAATGGATAGAATTAGTTGTAGTGTGAAGTAAATTATTGATAAAAAAGA